ACGCTTTGTGCCTAAAAACGCGTGTAAATTCAAATTGGCCAGTGGTTGATTGCCACGCGTTCATCTTCTTCCCAGAAGTGTCATTTCTGATTTCAGGCTTTTACCTACGGACAGAATTCCATAGCCATAGCCCTGCAAGCTTCAAAAATCCACAAAACGTATGATAAATTAAAGGTGAGTACATGGATTAATTCGTCTTGATCCCACGAGCATCATGGTATCCTTTTCTTGGCCTAATTTTACTTGTACAGAGAAGCCCTAAAACGGCTTCTTAAACCCTAGTCATGGCAATCATCAATATATGCATCAAACGCCAATTGAATCATTCAAGCATGTTGCAAATATGTCAATAATCACAAATACATCATTAGAATATGTTTATGATGCAAGAATTGTTGTAATCAATTTTGAAACAAAGACCAAACCGCGTGAAGGCTATGGGACGATTCTGGACTTGGGAATGCTTGTAATTGATCGTGTTAGCTTCAGAAGATGTCCAGGAAGCGATTAGAAGCTTTGAATGGCCTTGAATCATCCCCTAGGTTAGAAATTAGATCCACACTTTTTGTCCAATTTTTGAGTTTTTTTGGCTAGCTTGCACGACTTCAACCCTTGTCCTTTTGTATTTTTTGTGTTCAGTATATGTAGTAGGGCGAATTAGGGCAACAAAAACATATTGAATCTTTTTGAATCATGAAAATTGAATGTTATTTTCTCCTTATATGATATATTTCCAAAACCATCATAATCATGCTATTTTTACCTCAATTTTCCTTGATCAGATTTGATCTGATTAGGCCAGCTTGATTAGATTTGATTCTAACAAAAATCAGATCAAAAAATCAATATTTTATATTTTTTTGCCATTTATTTGATTTAATTTGACTTTTAAATAATAAAAATCAAAATAAAATAAATAAATAAAGCAAATAATATGTGGATGATGATTTGGGTCGTGGACCATGTCCCCAACAAGATAAAATCCTGAAAGGCTAGGCCCATTTGACAAAAATGCAATTTTGAGCACATTTGACTTTTGACAATTTTCTAAAAATGGCCAACTTTGACAATGCATATATCCTTCAATTTTGACCCTAGGAAGGTGTTCTTGTACTATTTAGAAAGATTAGGATGTACCCTAAACAAACCTTGTGGTTTCATCTCAATTGGGTCTTCCATGTTCATGTAAGAAGCTTTGACCCAAAAGGTGTTTTTGTTGACTTTTCAAAAGGACCTATAATGTAGAAATTCATATCTTTTTATGAGTGCATTTTTTGAACTTGAGGGCTGAAGATGAGTTGTAGGAAATTGGATTCTCTTTAAACTGAGCCTTGGATGAGAAATTTCTGATAAAGTATGAGAAAGTTATGCTTGGTCAAAGTTTGGTTGACTTTTCTTGAGAAACCCTAATTTAGCAACTTTTGAGTTTTGATGAATTAGGAGCATTCCTTGAGGAATAATAATCAACCCTTGATAAAATGATGGATATCACTTCAAAATATTGATGTTGACCAAAAATCTTGAAGTTTGACTGTATGTGGGTGACAATTGACTTTTGACCTAATACAGTTGATTTTCAAGCATCTGAGCAGTTGACTGAGCAAACTTCTTGTGTAAGGCATGCAACTTGACATGTATGATATTGAGAACATATTAGGACCGTGTAAAAGATTTGAGGCCTTTTAAGCTCACCCATCTTGATGAAAAGGGAAACCCTAGTTGGAGGTTCCTTGCTTTAGAAGAGGGTTTGTCTGGTCAACTCTTGGGTATCCTTGAGCAAGTTAAGGATCTCCATGAACATATGTTGAGTAAAATGGGAGGAAAAATTTTGGGGTACAACACCCATAAATATAATTATGTGCATAAACAACACAAAACATCCATCATAATGAAAGTAGAAATTCATCCAACGCTCGAATAATCAATTACTAACAATCACGCAATGCAGTGAAACATACTTTGGCTCAATAAATCTTGTACCAATAGGGAAAAACTATCAATATAATAAATTCCAACTTGGAGCAACAACGCCAATACAGACAAGCCATCTTTCTCCAATACAGACCATCTTTTTCCAATACATGCCACTTTAATGAATGCATGCAACACTGACATGCAACAACATAATTTCACATTGATTATTTTACCTATCAATGTCACACCAATACAGGTAATCATCATCATCCTCATATTATCATGCATATCATGTCACACAATCAAAACATTCATGCAACATCATCTTACTCAATCACAATACCAATCATAGCATGTTACTCATGAATATTCAAACATATAGGCATCAATGTTGGCCAAATAATTAACTGCTGTATTCCCATTTATTTTTATAGAATAGAAAATAATTTTATCTTCGTAATGGTCCAAACGGGGCGTCAAACGGACACCCGAGGCGTAAGTTATGGAGTTTTCAATTTTACAAAATTCTGTCTAACACAGTGGTAGTCAGGTACTCAATACCAGTAACCGGTTACTGCGCAAGTCAGTAGCTCTGTTTTTCAAAATATGTCAGCGATAACCGGTGACTACATTATGGTAACCAGTTACTTAGTAAATCAGTAGCCTATTTTCCTCAATTTTTCACGTGGTAGCCGGTTACCACCAGACCAATAACCGGTGACCACTGTTGCATAACTCAAAAATCTGCAACTTTTCCAAATGCGGTTTTCAATGTTTCAACACCAAAATTCTCAGTTTTTCTAGCAAAAATCATCTTTCAATCATGTTAATTATTTACCAACACATGCCTATTGATTCCAACCAAAACACCTCATCAATTTCACAATCAATCATACAAAAAAAGCATCAAAACTCAACAATGGGGAAAAACCCCAAGAACACCAATTAGGGAGAAATCAAAACATACAACCATGGGACCTAAACTCTACCATACCCCATCATTAGGAAAACCATTATAGTGTTAGAATCCCCCTTACCTTCGACTTTTGTTGATTCTTGATATCTACGGTGAATCTTCCTGTCCTAGCTTCCTTGTGTTTTCTCCTCTTCTCACTTCTACGATTCTCTTTTCTCTGTTTCTACGATCTAACTCTTTTCTCTTATTCTTACTCTAATATATCCCAATAATAATATAATCTTCTTAATTAATTAATTAATTAATAATTATTATAAAATAATAATAATCCTAATAATAATATAATGATACTAGTAAACTATATTATACCACATACTCCATGATTATACACTTTTAGCCATACACTCCTATAATTTCAACTTCAATAATTTTAAGGTATCCAATTCCCAACAAAGGCGTCACTCCATATCATAAAATCCACTAATTCCTAAGAATACACCGCATCCTCTAATTATTTAACTAAAAACAATTCTAATTAAATCAAGGTGTTACAGGTTACCCCATATATTGTACTCAGTTACACTGCGTATAGAGTCAAAAATCTGCTATTTTTTCTAATACGAAAATCATAATTTCAAAACCCTAATTCCCATTAATTCAATCAGAAAAATGTCTTTCAAGCATACCAATTACTCACAAACAATGCATATCAATCCAACTCAGTTTACATCATCAATTTCACCAATTATACACATAAATGCATCAAAATTTCATCAATAGGCAAACATCCCATGAACAAAATATGGAGAACTCAAGAATCAATCTCATGAACAAAACAATACACCAAACGATCACAACAATCAATATCACCACATACCTATCATTATACTATCTCTTAGAAAGTTGGAACTCCACCCTTACCTTTGGATTGAAGGTTCTCTAAGCTCCAACAATGGTGTCTCTTGCCCTAACTTTCCTTCCTTTCTCTGTTTCTCTAGATTTTTCATAATCGTACAATAAGAATACAAAACCCCAACTCTTTAGTCTTATTTTCCTTTAGGACCCCTAATATGTTATTCTCACTTTAACATCATTTATCCCATCTAACTTTATTCAAATGCCCTTAACCTTCTTTCACCAATTTATCTCTATTTATTTAATTAAATAAAACTTAAATAAATATTTACTAATTTTCCAACTTATTAATAATTCTAGTAATTATCTCTAAATTCCGTAATTTCCAATAAACTATTAAATCTCCAATACTCCTCAACGCGACTCAAACTAGATATTAGTCACATATAACAACACAAAATCACATATTACATCAGATAATTTACGACTATGTAATTAAATAATTAATTTAATATTTAGAGCGTTACAGAAGAAATCTCTACCTTAATATAAAATATTGCCTCTATACTATAAACAAGAGAGAAAAGAGTTGCTCTGGTTGAAGTGACCAAAAACTTAACATGAGATGACTCGTTCACTTAAGAACATATTATAGATGTAAGGTTTTACAAGAGTTAGAGTCGCATATAGTATTGTTTGGTTTGATTTTTTATATTAGAAAAAAAGGTTTTGTTTAGAACCAATGCTTGGCTCCCTCATAATGTAAGGCTAAATGATTTTGGTTCCATGCCCATTTATATGATATTGACAACTGTATTATATACTTTTCAATGACATCATATCAATCACCATAAGAAAATTTACTATTCAAAAAGCACTTGTTTATAGTGAACAATGCTAATATAATTGGATTCCATTTTTTTTGTTTTTTGTTTGGAGATTCACATAATCGAAATTTCATTTACTTTTACCCTTTGTTTGTTTCTTAAACTTGCTTCTTTCCCCTTTTTGGAGCTATGTACAAAATTATTGATTCCTTACATGAGCATAAGTACCAAAAAGCCTAAAAGGAAAATTTAACATTCAACATTATTATATTTATTATTATTAGTGATCATAACATAAACATAAACATAAACTTTATATTATTTTATTATAATATCAAAACATTTACATCTACATCAACTACAATTACTACACTACAATTCAACAAAAGGAATCTCTTTTTATTTTCATTTTTTTTCTTCTGAAATTTTTTTGACATCAATAATTAAGTAGCTTAATTCCTTGTAATTAAATAGTTAATTAATCCTAATTAAGCAGTCACAGATGTCTCCACAGCAAGGTTGCTAGGATAAGCAACTTCTGATTTAAGTTCAGATTCCCATAATTCTGGCACTGCCTCCCTTAAGTTGTGGATACTTTCTAAGGCATAATCTGCACCTTTAATTCTCTGTGATTTTCCAACCTATATGAAGATGATGTATAACAATCAATAATTAGAATTGTTTGGCATATAATTATATCATAATATCAATAATTTGGCAATTAGTTCATATATAAAACACAAATTAATAGTTAACTTACCAGCACTGTGTCAAGTCCTACACGTTTTCCAGCTTGTATGTTTCTAGCACTATCCTCAAAGAATAACTAAAAATAACATAATAGAAAAAAATTAAGAGTAGGGTTATAAAAAGTCTACGACCACGATCTATATTGTAACATAAAATGTTTTATGTCATTGTCACGTTGTAATACTACTAGATGTAATACAAAGAGACTACGTAGTTATACTTCCCATGATTTTTTTTTTATAATATCAAATATCATGATGCAATCGAAATTATGACCACAATTTATGACCATTAGGATGGTATTTAAAATATTAAAAACAAACAAAAAAAAGTTAGAAAATAATTAAGAATAGGTTATAAAAAGTGTGTGGTCGTGATATAAGTTGTACTGTAAAATGTTTTATGTCATTGTCACGTTGTATAGTATAACGAGACTACATCATCAGTTATATTTGACTGTGATTCTTTATGATATCAAATATTCTAATGCAGTCATAATCGCAAGTGTGATTGCAATTTTGGACGGAACTTGAAATTTTTTGATGAAGATTTTCTTACAGTTCTTTGTGGGTCCAGATTAGCAATTTTGAGAGCCAGCTCAATGGCAAATTCTGAAGGTTTGCAAATAATTGGTGTTTTTGGCAAAGCTTGAGTTGGATTGGATTGTGCAAAATGGCCAATAATGTCAAATATTTGCAAGTTACTAGCACTAGTACTTGTTGTATGGTTGGTTCTTCTTGAACCTACAAAGTCAATGTCATCTTCATCATCATCAGAGACAGTGTTCTTGTGGATAGGATTAAGTGTCTCAAAACATATAATTCCTTCAAAACAATCTTCTAATCCAAGCTTGTTTAGTGCCTTAACTGCATGAACTTTGTCTGCATTTGTGAAGATCTAAAAAAAATAAAAACAAATAAGGTTTCTCATTAGATTTTGTTCATTTTTTATGGTTTGATTAAATTTCAAATACTTAAATTTGAATACTAAAAAAGAAAAAAAGAAAAAAAAAACTTACTAGTTTTCTATAAGGTAGACTCAGCAAGAGGTTTCTTAAAACTGGGTCTGGTTTCAAATTCTCATATGGTAATTTCCCATGAACAAAACTATGATATTCATCATAGTCAAAGTCATATCCAATTGCCTATAAATTAACCAAAAAAAACAAAAATAAAGATTATAAAATTTGTTGTGAAATTATCACTTAATTATGAAAATACCATTTTTCACTTTAATTTAAATAATATACATACCCTTAAACCAGCCATAGTTGTTCCATAGTTTTTGTAAAGATGATTGGACATGTCATCAATTATGTTTCTCTCTATGCCAAGCTTCTCAACCATGTAATCTATAAATCAATAGTACATACAAAACAACATAAGTCAAGACACTGATCACAAGAATATATCAGTCTTGTGTGAGTGTCGAATACTGACACATATAAATTATTGACACTTATAATTACATTTAATTTATTTATTTTTAAAAAAAATTATTATTGATATTGATATGTCACTGTATCCGTATATGTGCTTGATAGCTAAGAATAATATTTACCTTTAATGTTTTGGCCACATGCTTTAGCAATACCACAGCTTAGTGGATACAAAGTATCATCTAAATCTGCAACACATAAACAAGTTAAAATCATAATTATATGAAATTTTCAATAATGTAATTAAAGATTTTTTTTTGTCTTACCAAAAAGAAGACAATCATATTTTTGTCTATGAGCTTGTCTGAACCGATTCTCATATTCCATTTCAAGAACAAAACCTTAAGAAACAACAAGAGAATTTAAGAATGGTAATGAAGAAAGATGAGAGGTGAAGGGGGAGAAAAAATGAGAGGCAAGAAAGAGTATTTATAGATGGAAGAATTATTGGTTTGTGGTAGAGATATTATGTTACAATATTGCATTAAATTATTTTAAATAGTTGTAGGAGCAATGAAGTTCACACAATGATTATTTATTTGGCTAAGATAGTGACAGCACATTTATATTCGTCACAAGTTTTTTTTTTATTACTTTCTTTTCCTTTCACATTGGATTCAAAGGACCAAAGTCTAGTTCACACATTGGACATGGAGAATTAATTGTAAAATCTACTTATATTGTGTAGTTGTTGGCAAAAATATGTAATAAGTGAAGAGAGAAAAAAATGTGTGTTTTGTATTAAATAAAATGAGCAACCACTACTTAAGTTGGAAAACATAGTTAGAATGACAATATTATATTACATGAAATTAAGAGTGTTTTGTGAGTTTTCCAATAAGAATAATTTTAATAGTTTTCTATTCAAAAATTGAAATATTTTGGTGACGTTTTTTATAATGGTATTACCCACTATGAATAGAATATCAAGGTTTGAATTTTGATGATAAAGTTTAACTTAGTAATATCGATTTATGTCAGTCAAGTTAGAATTTATGTATTTGGTGATTTGAAAAAAAAGAGAGACTAATTTAAGATTTAACCATATAGTTCATTTGTAAGATTACGGTCGACTAATTTAAAAGAAACAATCTTATCTTTTATTTGGGAAGGATCGATTTAAAACCATAGCACAAAGTTATATATGGATTTGACTCAACACATAAATTATTCCATCTAATGAGATTTATGTTGCGATACAATCCAAGTTAAATAATTCAAGCTTAAGCCTAAGTTAATTAGAGTTTGTTACTTATTTAGTGTACAAGTCATATATATATATATATATATATATATATATATATATATATATATATATATATATATATATATATATATATATATATATATATATATATATATATATATATATATATATATATATATATATATATTCAGTTTGTATAATTCAATAATATCAATATTTATTTTTGTATTCTTTCTTTTTCTCTCCTCATTAAAGTGGCTCACACACTAACAGATTGGTATCTAGAGGTCCAATTAGACTTTTGATTGTATTTTAAAGAATCAGACATCAGGGGATTGTATTTTCGAGATCGTGGGTTGTTCATCGCATTTGCTGCAAAGATGAATGATAACAATGGTATTCTAAATTCTCTCTAAATTCTTAACAGCAGGAATTGGATCCGATGGAGAAAACAAATGCATTCTCTATTTGGATTTCATAAAACCTTATAAGTAGTTACTAATGGCGTCCCCGAGCTTGTTGAGAACGCAACTGATGCTCAGAGAGTCGCGCATAAGGATGTCTAGAAGAAAGATTGTAAGATTGCGTATTGCATTCAATCAGTGGTAGATTCGACGAATTTCGACTAGATCTCTCATGCTTAATCGACGAATGAGGTATGGGATATTTTTGTCCAGTACTTGAAGGAGGTGAGAAAGTCAAAGTCGTCAAATTGCATACTTTACGACAGCAGTATGAATTGTTGTAGATGGGAGAACATGAAAAGATTGCAGGCTATGTGTCGACTGTGCAGTATCTCGTCCATCTCATGAATGATTATGATGAAACCCTAACTGATAAGATGATAATTGATAAGGTAATGCATACATTGACTTCTCACTTTGATCAGGTTATCGTTGCTATTCAAGAATCCAAAAAATTTAAAACCCTAAAATTGGAAGATTTGGTTGGTTCGTTGGAGGCGTATGAGATTAGAGTTGTCGAAATGAAAAGGGTTAAATATTTGATACAAGCACTGCAGTATCAGGCATGGAAGAAGTATGGTGGTTCCAACAAATTCAAAGGCAAAAGAGACAAGACTAAGAGCAAGAAGTCTTGGTCGAACCCTCAAAAGTATAAGGTCGATGATAGGGCTTCTGAATCCTCGAAAAGAGGATAATGAAACTCCTATCAGAAAGACAAAGAAGAGAAAAATGTGTAGAGTGCTATAACTATAAAAAGTGAGTCAATTGGTCAAGAATTGTTAGTACATGAAAGGCAAGGGAGCAAAGAAATGCAAGGACGAAGGAGTGAACTTTGCACGTCAATATTCTGATGATTTTGATGATTTGGTGCTCTTGGCTGCAGTTGCAGATGAGTATGTCGACTCCAAGATTTGGTTCCTCGACTTAGACAACTCGAATCACATGACTGGTCAAAAGTGTGGTTAGAAAATTTCAACGAGTCAAATAAGATCAAGGTCAAACTTGCTGATAATAGCTCGTTGCAAGTCAAAGGTACTGGCGACATACTTATTCCAAAGTGTAATGGAGAGAAAGCTATGATCAAAGATGTACTTTATGTACTTGCAATAAAGCGTAATCTGTTAAGTGTTGGACAACTGGTCAAAAAGGTTTCTTAATGGTTATGAAAGATGGAGCTTTGGAGTTGTTTGACCCCCAGAATAAGTTGCTCTTGAGATATCCTCTATCAAAGAATAGGATATTTAAGACCATGATCAGTTCGACTGAGGTACAATGTCTAAAAACAGTTGTTGACCACAAGAATAGTTGGTTGTGGAATTTGAGGTTTGGCCATATTAATTTTAGGTCACTTAATCAACTAATCACTCAAAATATAGTAATAGGTATACCAAGTCTTGTGATGTCTGAAAAACATTGTGAAGGTTGCTTAGTAGGGAAGCAATTCAGAAATTCTTTCGTTTCGACTATGCTAATGATAACCTCCTGCATACTGGAAGTTATACATTCAAATGTATGTGACCCTTTTGAGGAGCATACCATTGGTGGAAACAAGTATTTTGTTTCGTTTGTTGATGAGTACAGTCGAAAGCTTTGGATCTATGTGATCCATTGAAAATATGAAGTATTCAAAATCTTTAAGAGATTCAAGATGCTTATTGAAAACCAGAGTGAAATGAAGATCAATGTTCTGCAAACAGATCGAAGTGGTGAATACACATTCAAGATATTTGAAGAGTTTTGTGCAGAACATTGTATTAATTATGAGGTAACTGCTCATTATACTTCTCAACATAATGGAATAACAGAAAGAAGAAACATGACCATATTGGATATAGCGAGATGCATGCTAAAGCGGAAGAATCTACCAAAATCCTTATAAGGTGAAGCAATCACCATTGTTATCTATATATTAAATAGGTGTCCTGTAACGCCCAATATTTAATTAATTATTTAATTAAATATTTTCGAATATTTTTTCGATTAAATTTTCGAAGTTGTGAAATGTTAATTTAAGGTGTTTTATATTTAGTTGAATTAATTTATTTGGTTAAGTTGTAGAAATAGTATTAGAATAATACTATTGTTAATTAAGTGGACTTTTAATGTTAGAAGTAGTAGAAAGGGAGGTGTGGGAATTTAAGCCCAATAAGACAAAAATAAGAATAATAGTATAATAGTTATATTATAATAGAATTAGAAGTAGCGGTAAAAACAAAATAGGTTTTTGGCAATAGAAGAGGAATAAGAGTTAGAGAAGAGATACGTGGAAACTGCAAGAAGAGGCAAATCTAGGAGTCAACCAGAAAGTTAGAGCAACCTTCAATCTAAGGTAAGGGTGGGGTCCTGACTCTATAATAGGGTATGTGATGAATTGTATATGGGATTGGATTGTAAAATTATTTCTGTTTATGTTTGAAATTGATATATTGGTGAAATTGAGGGATAAATTGAGAACCTAGTTTAATATTTTACAAATTGTAGCTTCATGTTTAATTCCTATATATTTGATTAGTTTATTATATATTGACATACACAGTGCTTCGTTATGATATATGTGTTGATAGGATAACAAATTGATGTACAATAGCGGCAAGGATGTATATTATTTCACTTAGTAGTATAGTAAATATAGTGAAAGAGATACAAGTGCCTATATTACTTGGTATACTGTAATGGAAAATATGAGTCCCTATATTGATTGGCCTACTGTAGCTTTAAAACAATATTGTAGCACCACTTCCTACACATGTTACTTTCTTTTGGATAAATATTTTTATATAGAAGCTTCACTATGATACATATATAAATTATGGTATATATTGTATTGAGTTAAAATTAAGAATAATTGAATAGGAAATTGAGATACTATCAAGGAATTTAAATAGCTGGAGATTTAATACATAAGGTGATGTTGGTTTAATGGCATAAAGTTGTCTTTTGATATATTGTGTCTCTTTCAGTAAACTCATCTAGTGTATGTAAGGGGCTTTGTAGAATATGTATATTTAATTATAATGATAATGTGGAGGTGGTTGAAATGTGAGGTATACAGAGGATAAGAAAGCTAGCATTAACAATATACATACAAATCCTATTACTCTCGTATCAGTAAGTCGAATTTACCCTGGTAAAGGAAAGAAAATGACTTATGGTCTATTCTATAGTTTTCTTGTTCAAGTTTTAATTAACTAATTTATGTTAATTTTAATTTTGTTAGAGTTGTCAATAGAGTTGTTAGAGTTGCCAATAGAGTTGTCAGAGTTGTTTTGGGTTATTAAGAATTTTATTTTTATTGGTTTTGCATAATTGTGACATGTTTAGAGTTGTGAGTGTAAGATGTTGGTGTGTTATATATTTGTTGAAATTGCGAATTAAATCATAATACAAAATAACTCTTAGAATAGGAGTCGTATTTGTTTATTGTTTAGCTATCAAAAATTGAGTTACTTGCGATACCAGTATTACTGCATCGTCATTTCCAAGTGTTTCAACTTTCATATTGTAGTATTATAGTATAATAATTTGTAGAAGTTTTTTAATTAGAAATAAGAATTTAGATAATTAATTAACCGAAAATAATCGTAATAGTCTGAATAATTACGCAGTTTATTTGTAGTAAATTTTGGTTGACTCATTGTATTGTGTTCTTTGTTGAA